GTTCTTGTAATATTTCGCTGAAATATTTTCGCTGAGCCTAACTGCGGTCTGATTGCATTTAAAGTTAATTATGATCCTATTAAAATAGGTGAGAAATAGGTGCTACCAAGATGGGTAAAGTTTTAAAGAATTGTACAATGAAAACAGCAGCCCGCTGTCTGCTTGATCAAAGCGTGCAATATTTGAATGTGGTGCTTTAGATAATCTTTCTTTTTGTCTCAAAAAGTGCAGCGTTATTTTGAAATGTGGTTAAAAGATAAAGGTGCTGGCTATCAAATTTTATTTTCCCTTTAAAAGTGCAGTAAAGCCTTTATTTCGAGCGGCGTGTGTTGAAGGAGCCCAAAACGGGATTTTTTTACGTATAAAAATGTACTTTGCAACCTCTAGGTCCATTTTTATCCTCTGTGTGCATGGGGGTTCTCTTCATGTGAATTATATTTCATAATCCATGTCTAGGATGCTATGGAACAGGTTTCTTTATGATATATATATCTATATATTTTAAAGGAAAATGGGGAAAAAAAAGTCCGAGGTGGAGGGTGTTATTTTCAGACGCATCCTTTTGGCTGGGATAATGTGTATGTCTCTTTCTACGGATGTTTGTGCAATTCAGCTGATGTTTTAGGGGAAAGTAATACAAAATATATTGCGGTGGTATTTTGTAATTGAGAGATTTCCGTAGCCAGTGCCGTAGGAGCCCGAGTCAGCCATGGCAGGGCGAGACCCGTTAAAATGCTACCAGTGGATGGATGGCAGGTTAAATATTGTGCAAACGCCAAGCGCCAATTGCAAACTTTAGGTACCATTTCTAGAGGAACCAGGAGAGAAAGAGAGGGAAAAAAGCTGCCAGATGGGGTGTTGTGTTAGGGGACCCGGTGAGCGTGAGCCTGGCAGTAGTAAATATCTGTATCCTAACTCATGCTAGCGATGTTTAATACCCACATTCCCCATATCTGCCAGCCAAAACAGATGAGGAGGGTTCATGGCCAAGGGTACACTCTAACAGTCTGAGGTATTTTTGATTTTTTTTGTTGTTGTTCTTCTTCTTTGATTTTGATAGAGGAAATCAAGTCTGATACTCCAACAAGCAATTGGCTAACTGCAAAGAGTGGCAGAAAGAAGAGGTGTCCTTACACTAAGCACCAAACACTGGAATTAGAGAAAGAGTTCTTATTCAATATGTATCTCACTCGAGAGCGCCGCCTAGAGATCAGTAAGAGCGTAAACCTCACTGACAGGCAGGTCAAGATTTGGTTTCAAAACCGCAGAATGAAGCTCAAGAAGATGAGCAGGGAGAACCGAATCCGAGAACTGACCGCTAATCTGACCTTCTCCTAAGGTGCCCCGGGCAGGCAGCGAGCAGGGGCCGCAGCACTGCCCGCCGCTGCCGCAGAGACTCTGGCAAAAACCCTTCACTTTCCATTTTATTTTTTTTTCTGATAGAATGTGACTCTTCGTCCTTCTTTTAGCGCTGCAAGTGAATATGTATTACTATGATGAGTATATATAAAACCTAGCACGTGTAATTTATTTTTGTTCTCATCGTAATGCAGGGTAACTATTATTGAATATTATCATTTGGTCTTAACTTATTGGAACTGTCGAACATCCAAGCAATGTGACTTTTACATGTTTTTACTAACAAAATGGTATTTATGTGGGGCTATTACACGGGCCATAACATTTTGAGTACGTTCAATACCTTAAGAAAAAGAAAAAGGGGGGGAAACTTTGGGGAGGGGGGGAAAGAGAAGCACATTATAATGTAACTATCCTCTCAGATGAACTTAGAGATTGTCCTTCGTAAGATGGAATATTTCATTCCTCTCCATTGTAGACATTTTTTGTGGTGCATATGTGGAATAGTAGTCGTTCAACAGCAGTATGTCCTTCTGTGCATGTTCTATTCGCATGTATAATGCAATAAACTCTGTAAAATACTGCGGTTCCTTTGGTTTTCTACAAACGTTTAAAGTACACACGCAGGCCGGCTTCCTGTTCTTTCTTTATCAGCAGCTCTTTGGACTCGTGTACCTTTTTTTCCTTTTTTTTTTTCTCCTGGTCTTTGTGTGTGCCTGTCTGGTTTTCTTTCTTTCCTTTTTATTTTATTTTATTTTTTTTTAAGTTTTCCACAACCTCCCCCCTATTTTTTAGGGGTGGGGTGGAGACTGGGGCGGGAAATGATGTAAACCTAATTGACATATATTTGGGCCTGTAAACAAATGGTTAATTGATTAAATGTTGTGTAATGTTCACAGTATGACAAACATATTAAAAAAGAAAAAAAGAAAAGGAGAAGGGAAAAGAAAGAAGGGAAAAAAATGGGGGGGAAAGGCGTAGTAAAATATTATGACCTAAACTGGACATCCTCATCCAATCAACTCATAAATGGTAAGTGATAAAAATCTTTCTAGTACAAGCTGTCAGCAATATGTGTGTCATTTTATTTGACGTTAGCATGTTGATTTAAAAAATAACAGTCGCTGTGTGCTTACAATGTGTAGACTTGGATTTCGTGTCTTTCCTCGCTTTTAAAAAAATCCCCATGTCAAAAGCAAAGCTGGGTATAAACAAATGCTAAGGAGTTCAGCTCTTGGCCAGCCCAACGGCTCTCAGAAGCTGGTGAATGGGGAAATATTCCCTCAAACATCTGGCAAGATTGGGCTTTCGGAGCAGAAAAGCTGTGAGGCGGGTGTGTAAGGGTGCCCCAGCCTCTGCAAACCTCCGTGTGTGACCCTGCACCATCTTCCTTTGCTCGGGGTTTGTTTTATTTCACGCAGTTTCGTGTTAGCAGCACACATCCAGAGAACGAAATCCACGACTCTTAACCCTTTCTGTGTAAAGCTGGAAAATATTAATAACAGGGGAGCTGGGGAGGGTGTGGGTGTGTGAGAGAGCCCCTGCGTGTGCGAGCAGAAATACCACGCAGAACTGCAAAGGGCTTGCAAATGAACATGACTCCAAATTGAAGTGCAAATACTTGGGCATACTTTCACCTTCAAGTAGTACTGGAAAAAAAAAAGCAGTGTGGCTACTGTGTGCGCTTGGAAACCAGCTTGCTCGCAATCAACGCCCAGTGCTTCCCCAAGCTGTTTCTAAACTCAGGAATTAGACGCAAAATAGTGCCAATGTTTTCTGACTTGGTGACATTGATGCGGCTCATGTTGCAGCTGGTGGCGTTTCATTTTGCTCCATTGTCGAGGATATTTCCTTTGGGCACTTTTTTTTTTCTTTTCTCATGTGCACGTTTGCTCATAGGGAAGAGCTATATTTTCCTCAAACCAAAGCATCACCATTTTGAAACTGCGGGAGCAGCGAGCACATAGATATCGTGGCTTTCTATGGTTAAAAAAGGGACAAACAACAAAAAAAAACAATAAAAAAGAACAGATCTGTGTATCCCTGTTTTTTTTTTGACTCTTTAAATAATACATACATTTGAACCATCTTTTTATTTTCCTTTTAAGATACTC